TGTTTAACTCCTAACCCACTTATGCTTCAGATGCGCCAAAAAGTGTATTCACCATGCACGAGAATCCGAACCAATAAGTGGAGGTGCTCATAAGTGCATAAGAGGAACACATCAACCGTACACAGAGTAATGGGAAACAGCGATTAAGGGATGAGTGCGCACAACAAGAGGTTGCTGACATTTTCTCTCTCTTGGAATTTGGCGAAGGTATCAACGAAAAAGTTCTCATAAAAGGATGGCACTGATTGTATTTTTCATAATCATGTCTCCTTATTTACTTCTTAGTACAAACAATCCTCATCACCAACCTATACTGAACGGAATTTGGCTCATTTGTACGATAGCTTGAGTGGTGATGGTCAAGCGGTTTAAGTCACCAACTTATTGCCACAGAGAACGCGTGTAAGAATCCGGCCATCGCCACTCAAATTCTCCATGTTCAAACAATGTTCAGGAAGGCCAGTCAAAGTGCTGTCACATTGAAAATGGGGAATTTGGGTGGCGATGGCCAGATTCTAACACGTGTTCTCTGGGGCAATAAGTTGGTGACTTTAACCGCTTGTGTGTAAAATTTTAAAAAAAATTCTCGTATGTTGACTTCTGAAAGACAATGCATTGCTTACCTGGATCATCGGGGTCCCGATGAGCAGAAGTCTCTGACCCTAACTGAGAGTGTTCGAACATATCAGCAATTCGGAGCACCAGACGCGATTGATGTCTTTGTTGTTGTTGTTCTGGATCAAGCTCGTCCATATCGTCAGACGAGGTCGGATCATTTCGTGCCGGATAGTCATGTCGTCGAGAGCAACTTATGTTCGAGCAGACAAGGCAAGGTAGACGAGGGATAAGGGGGGCACAGATCAACAACTAATAAGTTCTCGACAATGAATAGAACTTTTATTGTGCGAATGTTTCGGAACTACGGAACATCACATGCTTTCGTTAACAAGACAGGTGTGCCAAGACAAGCAAAAAGTATCCTAATGCTGACAGCAACACATGAATATAACATATAATGGTCCTTTCGACAAGAGTTTACCTTGCACCGAAACGACAAGCCCCGGTTTTACGGAAAAAGCTGCACATCTCTTTGATCGGTTCGATAGAACCTCGGGTCTCTGGCTGAGAAGGTAAATGAGCAGGTAACGGAGGATGATGCCATGGTGGCAAATCCGCGGGACCACCGTTCGATAGAGGCACCTGGGAAGTGAGTAAATGAGAGGGCACAACATATATAATGGCCCGTGATTCCTTTTCATCATATCGTACATGGTGCCACCAAAATATTAGATCTTGCAATTGCGTGAAGTCATCAGTGTATCGAGACATTTGATATCATGGAGAACTGATATCAAAACACAATCAATATGATTTCATTGCTGAAGTTTTTTCAAATATGTTATTGGCGGTTCACAGGTCCGAGTTCGAAAGCAACGAAAATTTGCTAACTGACTTTATTTGCGCCTGATCACGTATTTTTTTTCGCTATCTGATATGTAGAGGAGGGTGATGATATACATCACTTTACGTCCTAAATCAGAACGACAGACGGACCGATACGCCTAACGCATAGCACTTGAGAGGTGGTTAAATTGGATGTATCAAAATGGGGTGAGCAACTCTTCGTCTATCATGGTTTCAGCACACCACACAAAACATGAAAAACGGACAAAAACCCCGACTGTATCACACGACAACCTAATGAGGGAAAATTCCGAAGATGAACATACCTGGTTTGTGGGTGTCGTATGATCATAATCTATCCGTAGATGATTGAGTTAAGATGCAAACAGGCGAGGAAAGGGGAAACAGATAAATGAATAAATAAGCTACATTTGGACGCGCTATTCCCATGCTGATTCGCTTTATTTGTGTGAGTGAAACCATGACTGAGATCAGGTCGAGTTGACCGGAGACTAACCATGGCTTAATCAGTACTGGTAACCAAATTGGCGTACTAGTAAAATGTGAGAAAGAACTTGCGGCTAGTTACAGAACCTACAAGAATATTGGTCTACAAAATTGTGACACATTTCTTCTTATGTCGTGCTTTCTATCATCAACATTCTAGACAGAAAACAATCAATGTATGCGCTTCATCCGAGCATGACATCATCATCCAAAGGACTACAGTGCAACGCTGCGGTCTTAGTGACCTTTAGTTGAATCAGGGAAGCCACTATAGTCTCATGTGGTGAGCGTATGTCAAAAAAGGAATAATGCAAACTGCTTCAGTTCGGATACATCTGAATCAATAACAGCAAGTATACGAATACCGCTTGGCACCTTATGTGCCACTGCGTTTGGTTCCGGTATTGCAGTTTCATTGGTGCAATGCGTCTCCTCTTCTAGTACGGCACAGGAAGATTGCTATAAAGGAGGAAGGGTTGAGAAAAGTTTACTTGATAAAAACCATGCAAAACGCTTTCATGATAAACAGTGATGGAATCAAGATGAAACGTGATCACGTAATCGTGGCATATCGTGATATATGGATTCTTCATGTGGAACAATCTGTATAAAGCCACAATAAAGCACTCTAACAATACAATTGACAAAACTTCGCCTTCTAAGAAATTTAATTAGATTTACGCATGCTACCAAGACCCCTTTAAACTATCGGCATAACAACAAGAATACCAATAGTAAAAATAATAATAATAATAACAATAATAATAATAATAATAGTAATAATAATAATGGGTGGAAACATTGATTCAGAGGGAAAGAAACTACGGATCGTTTGGCAGTGAATATGATAGTATAAGCGAAGAACTGTCTCATTTTACCAATAGTACTCAGAATACGATAAAATCATTTCATATGACCCTCTGAGATGATACTAGATTATTTAATAGCATGTACTATACAGATGGCAAAACTCTGAATGTACGAAGGTTTAGTGGGATGAGATGACCGCGAAAGAGCGAACATGCATTGGAATCTTGTTGATTAATAATGAACAGGGTCTGATCAAGGGAAATGTTTTGAGGAGCAGTCCGATTATCTGATAAAGACGGGAAACAGATTGGAATTTCAATTCAAATGCAAATTTTAAGTTTACCATGTGGAAGAAGAGATACACCACTAATATAAGTAAAGACCGAATGGTAGGACTCGATAACAACTTCGATTACACCAGAAGTACTCAGTAACGGACGGCATAAACTCAAGCTCAACTTAGTATGCTAGAGTCTCGCAGTGAGATAATCTTGTAACAAAGAGAAAGTGTATGGAGCAACCAAAGGGGACGATCGAGGGATCGAGCAGAATGCAAAAGAATAATAAGGAAATAAAACCAGCAGATCGTGCAAAGACTCGCTGATGAAGTACACGCTAGAAAACGCCGCGCCTAAGGTGGACCTGGTAGCTTTGTACGTAAACTAGAGATGATCAAGAACGTTGATGGCTAGTTTAACCCCCCAAAAGAACGTGATGGCGGTAGGACAAAGAAAGTTCAGATAGAATTTTAGAAGTGTAACAGATCTCAACGGGTTATGATTGGAACAGATATTGACAGATTTATTGACGAGAGCTGTCATCACTTCAGTTTCTGAACCAGCATCATATTTGAGGAGTGGAGGAGAGAGATCGCCAGGGAAAATTGTAGATTTCAGTTTGGAAGATTTCGAAAACTTCTATGGAGATAGTTTTACTCTTGGCGTAGTATGCTGGGATGAAATAAAAAAGCGTGTCCAAGGATGAGTGGATGAACAGTGTTTGGAACAGCAGTGTTTATAAGGCTTTTGTTGTTCACAGATGAGGCTAATGCCTCGATGGACAAAACCCTTACTTTCCAGTAGTTGTTCGATATGCTATTCATTTTATGTTTTATTTCACACGTGATCCTGCGGGGTAACTAAGAAACTGCAAAAAAACGTGTGATTCGTGAGCGATATCCGTGTGCCTTCTAAAAACTTTAACATACGCGAGAGGTTAGTATTCTTCTGTGGATAAATACTCCCACGGGGACGATACATGTAGAAGTTGCTGCTAACT